ACCTGAGTATTGTTGCTGACCATGTCCATCCCTTTATGACCACAAAACCGTTACTAGCGTGGTGTACCTAATAAAGTGGCCGGTGAGTGTATAATAAGGGGCAAAGCCAGTCTGAGTGACAGCGATGTCTAAGCAACTGAACTTTTCCTCTGCCTGTTTCTGGCTATATGCACGTAAATGCTCATAAGCAGCCATTTCTCAGTTAATTATTAATTGTGCAACATGTCACACACACACACATACACATCCTCATACTTCCGTCAAACTGAGGACTTTGTATTGACTTCCATTCGTTTTTGTAACTACATTTATGCCTAGCCCAGACATTTTTCCTAACCCTACCTATTACTGGTCTATACCTAACTCTAACCTGAATCAAAACTTAATTAACACCATACCTGTAAGCCTAACTAGTAGAGTGCAGTAGAGCTGTAAGAAAAACTGAGGACCGGGAAAATGTCCTCACTTCCCAAAAATGACCTCACTTTGTTAGTTAAAAACATGATGGTCCTCACTCTGTAACAGAAACAAGTACACACACAGCATAATACTGTAAACTGCAGTATTTTCTTAAGATTATACGACAGTAAAATGATCAATACCGCCCAACCCTAAATCAGAGTATTTTAATTTGTAAATAATACCCAATATTTTACTATCAGTTATCACAGGTTAATCTCATTAATCCCTTCTCTTTTTATGAATGATTTCTGTCACTGGCTCCAGGCAGAAGTTTAGATAAGGTTTTTTATGGCCATATTCTGTGCTGTTTGTTTGATTTTGAAGCTAATCTACATGTAAAATCAGTTTGTACATCTGTGATGTAAAAGAGAACTTCACTTATTATAATAAAGAAGTTGTAGTTTATTTAGCTATGGCACTAGTTACATAAGGTTCTCAAACATTTTTTTGTTCATTGATGAGGGCATTTAAACTTTGTTTAAACTATGTTTAAAAACTGTAAAATGTAAATTATGTGCTAAAATATAGAATTTATTCAAACTAAGCTGGAAAAAATAAATCTGAAAGTCCGTTAAATTATAAAACATGAGGTAAAGTTGTCCTTTTTAAATTAATTTGTGCATTTTAAGCGTATTTAATTTACTGGGCCATTTATTTCTGCTTTTATTTTTAATTATGTCAGTTTTGGTCCTCCATAGGCTATACATTTAATCCACATTGACTCTGACCCAACAACTTCTATTCCATTCAGTTTTTTATTGAATTCACATTGTTAAATTGTTTATTTGTAACATATTCTCCAGTAGCAGTAGGTAAATGCCATCGCAAACGGTCCTTGAATTTGAGAGAATTGGTTCTGGAAAGTCCTTGAAAATTGAATTTGATGTTAACTAAGTTGTGTCTTTTTTTTTTCACGGGACCAGACCACCTGATCTGAGCTACCTTTGAAACCCCTTCAGTTGAAAAACCATCTCAGAATCTTCTATGTTCTTTGTTTTCTCTCAACAGAGGCAGAGATTGATGTACGGATGCGCGAGGAGTTCTCAAAGGTGTGTTTTGAAACGTTACTACAGTTTTCTTTCAGCAACAAGGTGTCCACCCCTCAGGAGGGCTACATCTCCCGAATGGCACTCTCTGTGCTCCTCAAGCGCTCCCAGGATGTTCTCAGGCGCTATGTAGAAGATGAGAGGTTGAGTGGACGTTGCCCCTTACCAAGGTATGTCTAAATCTATCTGTCTGTTAGCTTGTTCCAGAGTTGGGTCTTTAAGGGAGAGTCCAGTCACTCTGCTGAGAAAACTCATTTCCACCACTTGGATCCACGATCTCATTCTTTGGGTCACTACCAATGACCATAAGTGAGGGTAGAGATGGAGATTTACTGGTAAACAGCCTTATAGCTCAGCTCTGTCTTCACCACAATACCAGCACCGATCAATTTTTCAATCTCACACCCATTCTTCCTTCATTAGTGAACAAAAACCAGAGATACTTGACCTCCACCACTTCAGGCAGAACTTCATTCAGTCCAGTCTTTTCTAACTGAGGACCATGGACTCCTCTTCGCAGCTGCTTCACCGTCAGCTGCAAACTGCTCCAGTGAGAGCTAAAGACCACGACATAATGACGCCAACAGAACCACATCATCTGCAAATACAGATGGAATCCTCAGGCCACTGAACTAAAGTCCTCCAGCCTCTGGCTGCATTCAGAGATTTTGTCTGTAAAAGTTAGGAACAGAACCAGTGACAACAGGCAGTCTGACTTTCAACTTCTCTGATGATGTGAATCAAACTCCTGCACTGGTTGAAACAGGATAAAATGGCCCATAGCAGCAGACCTCCACTCACACACTCATTAAGTACCTCCACTTGGTTGAATGCCACTGGATCGGCAGACTGAGTAGGTGGTTCCCCCTTTTCAAAAAGTGGGGCCCAAAGGTGCGTTTCAGTTCCAGGGAATCACAATCAGACTCCCCAGCAAGATCTATTCAGGAGGTTATATCAATGGTCAAAGCCCTGATTCAGGAGGAACAATGTGGGTTCTGTCCTTGCTGGGGTCCTCCAGGGTTTGTCTAAAACAGAAAACCGTTCACTGTACCACTCCCTTGCTATGACTCTCTAAAACATTTGCTCATCTTAACTTCTTTTTTGTTCTGATCATGATTTCAAAACCTTAAACTAAAGGGATCCCAAACAAAAACCATAATTTAGAAAACCTACTGGATGTTGGGTTTAATACTGACCTCTGCTCTGGTTTGTCGACTCGGTGAAGTTGTACGATACACAAGAAGACATTATCATGAGCTGAGTGAGCTGCTGCCCTTTTTATGTTGAAGATCAACTATCTGTAGTGGATCAACCATCTTAAATCAGGTGGATTCGTAAAGTTGATGAAGTGTAGACATACATCCAGTCCTTACTTTGAGACTTACCTGTTCACTGGGTCAGGATTTTGCTAACAGAGACACAGTGGCACTATGTGACTGCCTGCCTGGTAGCAGAAAGTAATAAAAACCACTGGTGTTATTTAGGATTGACAAACCTTTTCAAAGATTTAAAGCTTTCAAAGAAACAGTAAGTGTTCCAGCAGTTCTTTTGTTTTTAACTTCACACTTCCTGTGAGCTGATCGTTTAACACTCACCCCATCAATCTCTCTCTCTTTGTTCTAACTCTTTATTCCTTTTTGCGCAGGCAACAAGTGACTGAGATTATCTTTGTCTTGAAAGCTATAAGCACTTTGATGGATTCTCTTAAGAAGACACAGCCAGAAAATGGTGAGCAATAAAATGTCCTTGAATGAAATAAATCTTGAATTAAAAAGAGACATGGTGGACATGGAAACGTATTTAATTATATAGCCAGTAAATCTTCAATCTGATGAGTTTAGATTGTCAGAGAAGATTTTAAATAATTTATTTTAAAGTTTGATCTTTTTCCAACAATGTCAGGTAACAAACCTGTCTTCAGTAAGCAGACTTGTCAGGTTATATTGTGTTGACTTTATTTCCTCATGCCTGTGAAAGTTTACCTTCCTGTTACTGAGATTCTTGGTCTTGTTTTTCCGCTCCCCCCGCCCCGCCTGCAGTGGATGGCAACACGTGGGCTCAGGTGATCGCCCTGTACCCCACACTCGTAGAGTGCGTCACGTGCTCCTCGTCTGAGGTGAGCTCGGCCCTGAGGGAGGCCCTGGGGCCCTTCAAAGACTTTATGCAGCCACCGGTCTCCAAAGTGCAGAATGGGGAGTCCTGACCAGATTCACTTGAAGCTCCTTGTTTTTATATAATGAAGAAATCTGAAGTCTGAATTCTGGTCCTGGGTGCTTCACCAGTGCTTGGACATGAACTCCACATGAGCTCCATCTGCGGTGACATGAAGAAGCCCTCAACAAGGGCCGACTGCCACCACAACTGATGATTCACACACATCACGTGCTTCTCGTCAGCTCTCCTCCATTTTCATACAGACTGGCTGCAATCGCCTGTTGATGACAGAAATTAAAGGAAAGTTGCGGTGTTGCCTCTGGGTTTGTTTTGTTTTATTCTGAAGAGGCTGCAGAGACGTACCGTGTGCAGTGAGGGTGTCAAGTCATGTAACTAAGAAAGAACTAAAGCAACAAAAAATACTGGGGCTTTATTCTTCATGATGATTGAACACTGAGACTTTTTGTTAACATTTTCAGTCGTGAATTTCTTGCAGATTTTGGGCAAGAAAATAAATTTTACTTTAACATTCCATGTCATCCATAGCCAGCCATGTTTGAAGGGATGATCCTGTCTGTATGAAATAAATGAGACAATTCAACAATCAGCAGATTATTTATGGCTGTTTTGTCTGGGTCAAACTCTGCCCCAAGGCGAAATTTGAAAAATGCATCAAAGTGGGTAGGGGAGGGGGGGTAGAGAGCGGAGGTGTGGCCAGGACGAGAGAAAGAGACAGCTAGCATTAGCATAATTGATGCTACATGGAGAGTGACCACAGCGATGCAGATAGTTACATCTCTGAACGTCTGATGTGGAGGATTTTCACCCTCCTCCTCACCAGAGGCAGAGAGAGACTTGATCAAGTCAGCTCAGTCTGGGACTGACTCATGTTGGCTCCCTGGATCAGGACCTTGAGCTCCAGCAGCCTCGGCTGAGCTGTCCGCCTCACACCACACCAGCCTCGGACAGAGGAGGTGGAGCGCTCCGACAGCCTGACATAAAAAAAATAAAAGCATACAGCTGCAGCTGCTCACAAGATCACTAGTTTAAATCAGGAATAAAAGTGTTGGGTCTTGTTTGACTGAAGTTAGCTAGCTAACTAGCTAGCGCGACAAACAAGCTAAACTGAGGTCCTCCATCCATATTTTCAGTTCCAGGCTGAGTCATTTCTACCTTCTCCTCTCTGTCAACGCTCTCTGGTTTCATTTAAAAGAGTCGATCATCAGATATTGTCCAAGATTAAAGAGGTGATGACACAATATTGACCTTTTCTGCCATTTTTTATAAACCAAAAGGTCCATCCTGAAGATTTAGTTAATAATTACAAGCGTGCCTGTGTACCATCCTTTTTTTTTTTTCAAAAAAAAAAA